AGTGTTAATCTGTGTGACTCGTTGTCTTCGGACCTTTGAGTGGTGCTGAACGTGTCCTGCGGTCCTTCTGAAGGGGGAGTGTTAAATCTGATGATGTACATCCTGTTGAGACGGAGGATTGAATGAGTTCAGAAGGAGCATGAAAAGACTTTAGTTTGACCTGTTGATCCTTCCTGCTGAACTCTGAGCTCTTCATTAAAGACGCTGTGAGGAGGTGATGTGATGAGAGGGTTATTACAGATGTGTGTGTGTAACGAGTCAGGGAGAGACAAGGTTTTTAATTTGACTTTAAGGTTTAAGTGTTCAGGGTTTGAATCGCAGGTTGAGGTTCAGATGGCGGTGAAGTGGCGTGTGGTTTGAGGTCACTACAGCGACCTCACAAGTCCAGTAAGATGTGTCAGTGTTGGGGAGAGAGGAAGTGCCGATGTGGTTTCATGCTGGCGAGGAGCTCCAAGCCGCTCGCAGAGGTTTGATTTATGAGTCAGCGTTTAGAGTCCTGGACGGAGAAAGCGATGGAGCAGAACGATAGAGAGAGATGGGCCAAAATATCCTAAACAAGAGGAGGAGGAGTGACGGAGGACAAGTGGGACAGAGGAGGAGGAAAGAGATGTTAAAAAAAGGAGGAGGAATGAAGGAAAGCCAGAAGAAGGAGGGCTGAATGACGGAGAGAACGTTTTCAGTCTGATTCCAGAACATCTGTTTTTCATTTGGGGTTTTTTCTGTTGAGGAAACGATTGTGCTCGGTCGGTCCGACTGTGAGGCCCCGAAGATTTAAATAATATCTTTGTATGTGTGAGTGAGAAGAGGAGAGGAGGGGATGATAAAGGGACAAGGGAAGGACAATGTGAAAGAGACCTGAGCAGAGTTAAAGATGAAGCAGCTCCTCCTCCTCCTCTTTCACATCAGTCTTTCATGGACCATCAGTCTCTTTTCTCCTGCAGTCCTTTCTCATCCAGAGCTGCCATACATTTTAATGACTGATTTGCGGCCTATCCGAGGGGACAGACGAGAGAGAAGAGGGAGGTTTCACAGCCCTCTTCCTCTCTCCGTCTCACACAGTGAAAGACTGTGAGGCCGGTCGGTTCGGCCTCAGACTGTTTGTGGCTGTTTTAGTTTACGTGTCATCCATAATGCATGTGACATCATCACTGTCGCTGAAGCATGATGCCCAAACAGAAGACGACCAAGGACAAAGGATCCTGGATGGGATCAGCTGTGTCTGCAGGTGAAACACCTGAAAGAATACCACTGACAATATTTCATATCTCTGTTACTACCAAATAAATAACACTGTGCAGCACTTCCTGTCTTCCCTTCTGCCTGTGGCCCCGAACACATCTGCTCCTGAAGACTGAACCTTTCAAAGCAGCACAGACACAGTTTGGTTTTAAACAAGGAGTCAAGGTGCACGACTGAAAGAAACAACACAACTCAGCTCTGTTAGCTCTGTCCTGTGGTGTCCCGCAGGGCTCGGTTCCTGATCCTCAGTTATTCTCTCTCAGATGATATCCAGCTGTACGTCTCTTCAAACCTGTGAGCCTCTCGGGTTATCTGACTGTCTTCATGTGATTAGAATTTGGACCTCTGTACATGTTTCACAGCTCAGTGCTGATGAGTTGGAGGTTCTGGTTGTTGCTCCCCCTCATTACACAAAGTATCGGGCCTCTTTCCTCTGCAGCTCACTCACACCTGATTAATTTAATGGTCATATTTGATCAGTCGACATGATCCTTGACCAAATCTTGTTTTTCCATCCGATAATCTCAGTAAACTGAGATCTGTTGTTTCACCTGCTGGACTGGAAATGATGATACTCATCTTGTATCAACTACAGTAATTCCCTTTACTCCTCGCTGAGTGTTTCTGCTCTGGGTCGACTACAAACAGTCCATTACGTTGCTGCAAGACCATCAGCCGATGATCGGTCGGTACCAGCTGATGAGCAGCAGGTGGAGCTAGAAACGTCACAGCAGCTGCAGGACATGAACTCAGACAGGAAATGGTCTGACAGATGTTGACATGTGACAGACAGCAGCTCCATGTGTTTGGAAAGTCAAGCAGAATAAAACCACTTCCTGCTTGATGGTGGCGTTCAGCTGTTTGCTCATGTGCATGAACACCAGAGAAGCTCCATTACTCTGGCGTGTTTCTCCAGACGTAAAGGTGACCCGTCATCCTTCTAGTTAACTCAGCTGTGTTTAGGAGCTTTGTTTCACCTCAGCTCACAGTGAGGAGTCTCCTGCTGTTTAATGACTGATGGGAGAGGAGGGAAGGATCCCTGCTCACAGCTTTCAGACTTTGATCTGTGATGAAGGATCAGAGGTGGACAGAGCTCCGGCTGAAGGATTTACATGTTAGAAAGGTTGGAAACAAACATTTTAATCAAGTCAAATAAAACTGACAGCTTCAGGTTGTCGAGACTCGTTCTCAGGTGGTGTCATAGCGACTCTTTGGATCGGTGGTTCGATCTGATGACAAAGTCTTTGGTGTGAGACGACCTGAGAATGAGACTCAGCAATCAGCTGTCTGTCCCCAGTTTCACACAGAGACGTTCAGAAAACTTTGCTTGATACTGAAGAAATCAAACTGCTGTGATTTATGGTGTGATGTCAAAAACCAACTGCTGTATTATATATACATCCTCTCTTTGTTTAAGTTAAAGTCAGTGTTTGTTTCAGACTGTTTTCTTCTGGATCGTCCCCTCCTGTTTCACATCACATTACATCCCTCCGTCCTCAGGAAACATTCAGGATGACAGCGTAGAGTCAGAGGGGCGGAGTCTGTAGTGAATTAGAGCAGGTGTAATTTAGTGCTCCAGGTGTGTGTGTGTGTGTGTGTGTGTGTGTGTGCATGCATGAAGCGTCCTCCTCTCAGCAGGTTTAACAAACACACGTCCTTAAAGCTGACGGTCTGACGGCTGATTAACTCTCTGAACTGATGTTTGAGCCTCTGGCTGTGTTCAGCGTTTCTTCTTCTTCTGTTTGTCTCGACAAAGAAAACCTGTGTTTGTACAACGTCTCGCCTGTGTGTGTGTGTGTGTGTGTGTGTGTGTGTGTGTGTGTGTGTGTGTGTGTGTTTGTGTGTGAGTGAGAGAGCTGCAGGGTTGTTCAGGTTACAGAAGGAACTAATTGGTTTGTTGCAGAGGGGCGTGTGTGCTCATACGGAGTGTTTCAGCGTGACTGTCGGATCATTACGCTCTTGCAGGACGTGAGTCCGTGTCTGTTTCATTTGCTTCGTTTCAACATGTAGGAAGATTGTAGCCGTCGCTGCTCAGGTAGAAGAGCTGCTGCTCCGCCATGCTTCAGCTCAGTCTCATTACTCAGCTGATGAACGGATGAGTGTTTGATTTGTGATTGACTGGAAGGTGAAAGATGGAGAATCAGCTCAGAGATCATCAGATCGTCTCTCCGTCACTGTGGACGAGCTTCAGGAGGAGAGTTCACACTCACAGCAGGAAGTTCATGACACACTGAAAGATTTAAAAGACTTTAGTTTATATTGAACTCATCGTGATCATTTATTTAATCAGAGTTTACACAAAAGAGCAACTCATCCATACTGAGCATCAGATCTACCAACTTTTATTCAGTCAGTAGTCACTGTGTTCTTACATCAGATTCACCCTCTCACACCAACATCATTTATTTATTTAAGGATTTCACACCATTTGGACAATACAATAAAAAAATGAAAGAAAAAAAATATAACACTGGTAAAAGTAAAGTCCCAGATGAGCCTGTACGTGGCCTCAACTCATGAACTGTATTAGAATCAACAACACTAGTCAAACGATTAAATTAAACATAACAAGCCAAAAGCATAGTGAAATAAATTAATCAATGCAATGTTGATCGTATTAAGATATTAATAATGAAATAATAATAACAATAAAGACAATAATTACAGCAACAAAAGCAAACAGCTACTATGATAATAACAACAATAAAGTGAGTACGTCAGTGAGTGTACACAGGTTATTAAACACTGCAAATGATCACGTTCACTCAGGTGTTGTGTTTCCATCACTGCTGATGGGAGCTGATCTCATGTTGTGTCTCAGAGAACGAGCTGCTGCCTCTGGGAGGAGACTGAGAGCGACTGACTGCAGACTGAAGACTGTTAGACATTCATTCATGTCTATAAAGCATTGAAACAAAGTCAGATGGAGGAGAATTCTGCGTCATGATGATGATGATATCACGATTTGTGTTTTTGTGTTTTAGATCTTTATATTTTTTATTTATTTATCTTTTGTTTCGTTGCGTCTCATGTCCTGATTGTTACATGTGCTGCACACTGTTGACTCTATTATGTTGTATTTATATGGCAGCAGTTTGGGTGACAACAGCGGAGTCATGTGACTTCAGACTGAATGCAGATTGTAACGTTTCCTGTTACATTAAAAGCTTGTGGGTCTTTGTGCGGAGGAAACAAAGCTATACAGCAGTGAGAACAGGAAGTGAAACACTTCAGTGTATTTCTCTGGTTCCTGCTGAGCGGTGGTGAAATGACAGAGATCGCAGAAATGTTGTCTGTACCTGTGTATGACTGTGGGAGGTTCAGGTGCAGAAACATTGGTGGGAAATGACAGGTTCAGTTGTTTCTCTGACACTCAGCAGTGCTACAGTCAGACATTTATTACAGAGCAGATAAACTCCAGGTATCAATTTGACCAGCAGCAGCAGCTGAAACACAAAGTGCTGTGTGGTGGTGTGTGTGTGTGTGTGTGCGCGTGTGTGTGTGTGTGTGTGTGGGGGAATCTGCTGAACGCTGCACAACTCATGATAGAAAAGTTTCAGGGTCGGATTTTCTCTTCAGGTCGGAGCGTCGTCCCAACAACCGACACAGTGACCTCACACAGACGCAGTGACCTCACACAGACACACAGCCAATCAGACGTTGTTCCTCATCAGCAGGAGCGTTCCTGAGGAGACTCCAGAGGAGGTTTGTCCAGGTGGACTGATGCAGATGTCCTGACGTGTCTCTTTGTCTTATTTCAGAGGCGGCTTTGAGCAGGATGTGGAGAGTGGCTCCCAGCAGCAGCCTGATACCTGCCACGGTGAGACACATTTATTTATCCTTAAAGACATGTGTGATGTGACGGGAGGAACAGGTGACTGTAGATCTGACACACTCAAATCAAACATCACAGTCTTTCCTTCATCAGCGCAGCAGCTCGTGATGAAGAGGATGTTCATCGTTTCCTCTCAGAGAGGCTTAACAGAAGATAAAGTGGGTTGTTCCAGATCTGTTCGATGTGTCTCTGATGTGATGAACTATTATTCTTTTGTCTCCACCATCATGTCTGCTCCATCCAACAGTGACACAGCAGTAAAGCAGTCAGTAAAATAAGAACGACAGAAACCAAGACAGGACGAAGATCAGATCAGAACATGTGATCAAGTGACATTAAAGAACAGCTTTTTATTGCACAGACAAACTTCTCCTTGAGATGGAACATGTGACCAGGAACAGTTTAACCCTTTGAACTCTGCAGTAGAAATGGTGCACCAGTGTCTACAGTTGTATTTCTGATTATTGTGATGTCATTTCCTGGTTGTCTTCAAATGCTTCATCTCCCTAAACGCTATATAACTTATGCTGAAAGATCTGTGACTCAATAAACCACAATAACTGACGGAGGTTTCCTGGAGGGAGCTCCTTATTTAAACTAATCAATCAGCTGTTCCTCTGTCCTGCACCTTTAACGCGCCTTGACCACACACTGATGATGTCATGTCTTTGTTTGTGTTCCTGCAGACGTCCTGGCGACCACTCGGAAGCAGAACACGGCGCTGGATTCAGCGTATGGTCAGTGGACATGTCTTTATCTCTGACCACTGACCTCTGACCTCAGGGCTGTTGATTTGTTTGTTTGTGTTTTGTGTTGTGATGTCACTGAGTGAAACGTGACGGCGACTCGTCATCATTGAACATGAACCTTCTCACCGCTGCCACTGTGTGTGGAGCAGCTTCCTGTCCACAGAGGAAATGCTCCAGCAGCTGGATGAGTGGAGCTTCCTCCTCTTCCTCCTCTTCCTCCTCTTTCTCCATCTCCTCCTCTTTCTCCACCTCCTCCTCTTCCTCCTCCTCCTCCTCCTCCTCAGCCAGTCTGACAGCTTCAACATTGGGTCCTGCGCTGGACGAGCGGCCTAATGCCCTGTATCAAGACGGATCATCATCCCTGTCACGTCCCATTACTCCCCCACTGGCCACCGCACACGGCCCCTGGCACGGCCCGAATAGAAATAGAAGCGGCGGCGAGCTGGCGGCCCCTCAGATAAGATTGAGGAGGTGGTGTCCAGACAATTTTCCAACATTCAAAAGCAGTCCTTTTCAATCAGATAGCTGTTGGCCGGCCTCGTCACTTTTATCTGCACAACTGAAGCTCCGCCTCAACTTCAGGACCAGTTTGTAAGACTTGCTCAAAGTCACATCCCTTTGTCAGCGGACAAATTAGGACACGGGGGAGCTAATGGCGCCGGTTGATTAGTAACAGCAATGAGCCCACGCTGCTGAGAGATGTCGGCCATTACTGCTCAGTATAAGCATCCGTCCTGCGTCTCTGAGGCGGCGGTGTGAACCAGAGGCTTTGGCCCTGCAGAGTCTCGGTCGACTGCGGGAGGAGTCACCTCTCAGTCTGCGGCGTCCTGCGGGACCGCCGTTACACCGACGCCTCGCTGCGCTGTTTGAAGTTCTCTATACGCAGTCACATTCTGCTTCTGTTGTTTGGTTTTTTTGAGCTGATTCACACAAAAAGCTTTTAAGTCTCGGCACTGAAGATCAATTATCAGCTCCTCTACACAATGAAACAGCCCATATGCCAAACAAAGCTGCTGTCACACTGGGGCTCCGTCCCCCTTCGAACACACACCAAAGAGAGGATGAGTCCTTTCTTCTTCCACGTCCCCATCTCCCAGACAACCCAACACCTGCCTGTGGAGGGAATCAAACGCTCCTCTTTGTTCTTCATCATCAGTAAAAAGGGACAGAAATCTGATCCTCGCTGCTCACACTAACACAATCACTCTAAACTGGAGTAATGAAGTCCTGGAGCTATTGTCCGCCGTGCCAGGGCCAAACACCCCCTGGTGTCCAGTTTTAATTTGCCCGGCGCAGATGGCGAACTGACGGGGCTCCTCATTCAGAGTGAACGCTGTCAACTGGCTTGCAGTGAGGGAGCGAGGACAAGGTGTGAGCTCTGCTTCACGCTAACGTTACAGCGGGCTTATTAGTGCAGGAGCTCGAGCCAATAGCAGCATGCTGCTCGGCGGACCTCAAGGACAACACGGAGCTAATAATGCAATCAAGATGTGGAGCGTGTCATCGGGAGGAATCTGTTTGATAATACGAGGCCTGTGGCAGCAAACGCACCGAGTGGCGCCTGGCATATGTCTGAAATGATTCCAAATGTGGTCGTCATCATGTTCGCTGCTCCGCCTCAAGGTGACGTGTTTCCTGTGAGTCGGCTCAGGAAACACAAACAGTCTCTGTTTAACACTCACTGCAGCCGAGTCTGACCAGGGGTCAGAGGTCAAGGTTAAAGAAAAGCTGCAGTCAGGATGAGGTCATCACTGAGAGTCCGTCAGGCATCATTTAAACGCTGCACTTTGAAACAACTCGATTCAACAATGTTCTTTATCAGTTAACAAGTGCTGGGCGACACATCCGTTACACTCAGTGTGTCACAGCTGGTTCCTCATGGGATCTGTGCAGGGTTCCAACTGTCCTGGAAAACCTGGAAAGTCATGGAAATTAGTTCTTTGGTGTGAAATTGTTACAGTAATTGTCACATGTCACGTAAAAGTTTGGGCGCCTCTGGTCGTTCAGTATAAGATGAACTGATCTCCAAAAGACATGAAGTTAAAGATGAAACATTCCTTCTGTGTTTTAACTGAGATTTAATTTCATCTTTTACAGTTTCAGAATAACAAAAAAAAGAGCCGACCTCAGCCCTAACCTCAGTTGACCTCAACCTGACCTCAGCCCTGACCTCAGCCCTAACCTCAGTTGACCTCAACCTGACCTCAGCCCTGACCTCAGCCCTAACCTCAGTTGACCTCAGCCCTGACCTCAGCCCTGACCTCAGTTGACCTCAGCCCTGACCTCAACCTGACCTCACCTCAGCCCTCACCTCAGCCCTCACCTCAGCTCAGCCTGACCTCAGCCCTGACCTCAGTTGACCTCAGCCCTGACCTCAGCCTGACCTCAGCCCTGACCTCACCTCAGCCTGACCTCAGCCCTGACCTCAGCCCTGACCTCACCTCAGCCTGACCTCAGCCCTGACCTCAGCCCTGACCTCACCTCAGCCTGACCTCAGCCCTGACCTTAGCCCTGACCTCAGCCCTGACCTCACCTCAGCCCTGACCTCAGCCCTGACCTCAGCCCTGACCTCACCTCAGCCCTGACCTCAGCCCTGACCTCACCTCAGCCCTGACCATATTAGTCTGTGTTCTGATGTTTAAACAGTCACAAAGTGTTAATGATATATTTCTGTCATGATATGTTAGAGTGATAACAGCAGACAGACTGACGGACCGACCGCTGTCTGCGGCGTCACTGATGTCAAGTCCAACTTGTGTTGTGTGTGTGTTCATCATTTTGCTCACTATCATCTCTGCCTCTGTGTTAACGGGTGACGTTTTTTTCTCCACTCACCCTCATGTCTCTGCAGTTGATTCTCCGGCTGATTCACATTTCACTAATCACTCACTCTGTTGCCCCTCCCCCCTCCTCCTCCCCCCCTTCGTTATAACCACAGGGAAGACCACACCCACAAGCGCCAGCACAACCTATCATGGGGCGGCATTCCCAAAGGAGGCAGGTGACCCTGAAAGAGNACCTCAGCCCTGACCATATTAGTCTGTGTTCTGATGTTTAAACAGTCACAAAGTGTTAATGATATATTTCTGTCATGATATGTTAGAGTGATAACAGCAGACAGACTGACGGACCGACCGCTGTCTGCGGCGTCACTGATGTCAAGTCCAACTTGTGTTGTGTGTGTGTTCATCATTTTGCTCACTATCATCTCTGCCTCTGTGTTAACGGGTGACGTTTTTTTCTCCACTCACCCTCATGTCTCTGCAGTTGATTCTCCGGCTGATTCACATTTCACTAATCACTCACTCTGTTGCCCCTCCCCCCTCCTCCTCCCCCCCTTCGTTATAACCACAGGGAAGACCACACCCACAAGCGCCAGCACAACCTATCATGGGGCGGCATTCCCAAAGGAGGCAGGTGACCCTGAAAGAGGTACAGGTCCTGATGGCCCTCCCCCCGTGGGGGAACAAGGGTCACCTGACTCGGAGCCAATCAGTGTGGAGATGGAGGGTAAGGGGGAGGGACGTCTGTCCTCAGTGAACCTGCAGGGGGTTGTACTGCTGGGCCCCGAACACCTCACCGTACACGTCTAACCGCACTGACCACTAACATCAACTAATGTTTCACTCTGGAAGAACAGCAGGCACGTCTGCATGGCGTCACCTGACGTCTGCACGGCGTCACCTGATGTCTGCGCTGTGTCACCTGACATTTGCATGGCATCACCTGACGCAGACATGACAGTGGAGTCAACTCCATCAGTTAACGTCCTTTATCCAGGGCTCCACATCACAGTCTGTGACCCTGTTGAACAGTCCATGAGTCCTAAAGCAAGGAAACAACGAAGGAAAGGAGACGACGTCACGTGACAGCTTTTGGATTTTGCTTTGAAGCCAGAGTTTGGTGTCGACTTCTTTCCTCTCCCGCACTGTCAGACAGAGCTGAGATCATTAACAGGGAAACAAACGCCCACATGTAGATAAGAACCGTCAGTGTACGTATGATGTAATCGGGATCACTCATTGTTTGTAGGGAAAAAATATTTTATTACACATTTAAATCAACAGTCACATCACTTTCACCTCGAGCTAAATTCCTGCTGATGTACAAATCTTAAAATATGTTTCTTCTTCGCCTGAGTTCAGTCCGTCCTCCATGGAGACATATTTTTTATAGTGGTCACTGAACTGTGACGTGCTGAATGTCTGAGCTGACGCTTGAACAGGACGGAGATTAACGGTAACGTTAGCGAGGGGCCTTCATGTGTTCATCGTCCTACAGATTGTGGTGTTTGTTCAGGCAGTTTGAGAAGTTTGTCGTGATGTTTTGCAGCAGACATTCGTCTTTAGTTTAGTTCTCAGTGGCATTATTCAGTCGCTCAGTGTCATGACTGCTCTTAGGAAGCGTTTGATTTGATATACAGCAGAGTTTTTCTTTGAGCATTTTAAACGTCACCATTTTAGTCGATCATGAACATTAAACTGTGGGAACTCAGAATCATGATTAATGTTGCATTCATTGTGCAGCCGTTCGTCAGTCGACATCACGTTTCCTGTGTTTTTAATCTGCTTGAAGGATTTTCAGTCAGTGGTGACACAAAAAGATACGATGGGTTACGGTGGGATTTGATTTCAACAGAACTGACACCAAACTCTGGCTCCAGTGTTAAACTCAAACTCTGTCACTGACGTCATGACCTTTCCTTCTTCAACAGTTTTATAGTTGACCTGAAGCAGTTGAACACTCAGGAAGTCGTGGTTGAGCGTGTCAGTGTTCTCCCAGGGTGAAATATAACCTCATTAGCTCACTAACTCTGAACTCACCAGTTAAACCAGTCTGTTCGTGCTGATTGATTTCTTTGATCCGAACTCTTGATGAGTGTGATGACATCACTTCCTGGTTCCACCGTGGGCTCAGATAAAAAGTTGAACATCACATGATTTTAGAGGACGTGAAGCGTGTCAGAGGAGGAACTTGGGATGATCAGCCCTTATTAAACACGTCTCCGGCTCTAATTTACTCCTCAGATCAAGTGAAGAACCTGAAACATCACGGCCGTCCCTCATCTTTTATTTAACTCGTCAGCACGAACTAATGTTCCCTCAATGTTTCCGACACACTGAAACATTCAGAGTACAGCAGGAAGCATCGACTGTCTGTTTCTGTGTGACATTTTTTTTAACGTCTGTTAAAGTCCTGACGGCAGCGTCTCATCCAGACTGTCTTTGATCCCTCATGTCTCCGTCCATATTCTGAGATCAACGAGGGTGATTCACACAGTGAATCGTGTAAACAATGTTCAGCTCCCTCGTCACACCTGTAACCACTAAGTTCATTAATAAATATAAACATATGGATTTTATCTATCACAGCACACATCACGGGAAGTGTTGGTGTTAACAGCTGATCTCTCTTGACTCCTCATGTGTTCACACCGAGCACAAATAAAACAATGTGAAGACACAATTAGATGTGAATTTCCACAGGGCGGCACAATGGACGCAGCGTGAATGACGTGAAATATGCAACTTTAGCAGTGCAAATAAGGCGAGTAGCACAAGTCAGCATCATACGCTTTTTGCAAGAGTTGAAAAATCTGAACTTCAGCGACGGATTCATGCCGTCGTAGCCAATCAGCATTGAGATCCTCTGACATATGACACCAAGGATGTACCAGCGGAAGTTCGTTCATCAGTTCAGCGATTTCACACACGTATGCTACGTGTCAACACAAAATATTCTAGTGTTCAACCTTGTACGTGTCACAGGATGCGACTTTGGAGGATGTGACTTAACCCGTCAAAAACAGACCTCGTGTGGACGGCCGCCGCAGGAGATGGTTGTTTGCATGATTCTGTTAAAATGAATCTAAAATAAGAAAATTTATTCTAGAACATTGCTGAATTGCTGAAACATGTTTTTTTAAGTTGACTGTAAAATAAATACAAAATACAACCATATAAATCAGTAAGCCCCTCCCCTCAGCCAAAATAACAAACCTCAGTCCGTCCTCAGTGCTTACAATGATTTGTCACCTCCACCCAGCTCCTCACTATTTAATCACATCTCTATCTTTACGCGCTCCAGCCTCATTAGCTCATACATTGTTAATCTGACTGTTAGTTCATACTGATGAACACCAACAGCTTCCAGAAGGAGTTGATATGGGTCAGAGAGCTCCATGACCACTGCAGGACATCTGTGTGACGTCTGCATGAGCCTCAGATCATCATGTAAAGAAACAAAGAGACAAAGTTATTATGTCCCCCTGAAGATGAGAACATGTTCCTGCAGGTTCAGGAAGAAAACAGGGTTCATTGTGCCATGATTCAGGGAGGACGAGGCGGCATGAGGCGGCGTGAGGCGGTTATTGTCCTCAGCTCAGCAGCACAGACTCCATTTCAGAAGTCCATAAATCCTCAGCAGTGAAAGAAGCTTCCTTCACACAGACACACAGATACAGACTGTCTCTGTGGCTGCAGCCTCAAATGAGAAAAGTCCATCAGAAATAAATAACCAGCAGGGTCCTGAGCCGAGGGTGGGGGGGGTGGGGGGGCAACGCAATCTATTTCAGCCACAGACTGTGACGCTGCTGCTTCAATCAGAGGAGTTCTGGATAACGAAGGAGAGGAAGTCACAGTTCCTCCAGGCTCTCTCACTCACAGTGACTTCTGTCGTCAGATACCAACGAGAAAAGATGTCCTTTCACATCAGTATCATACACAACTGGTCGCCATTTTAGTTAAATAGCGCCCAGTGGCATCAGGGGAAACACAACAATGACATTTAAGGCGTTGGAAGTCTGAGTAGGGCGGCAGAAGGGGTGGTGGGTGGGACCAACAGCCACCGACTTTGACCCAGGAGGTCTGTGTTCACGTCCTGTAAGATTGTAAAGCCAAACCCTGTTCTTTATTCCTAAACCCAACCGTGTGTGTGTGTTGGCTAAACGTAACCACGTGTGTGTGTTGGCTAAATGTACAACACACACACGTGGTTACGTTTAGCCACCACACACACACACACACGTGGTTACGTTTAGCCAACACACACACATGGTTAGGTTTAGCCAACACACACACACGTGGTTACATTTAGCCAACACACACAAGTGGTTACATTTAGCCAACACACACACATGTGGTTACATTTAGCCAACACACACACACATGTGGTTACATTTAGCCAACACACACACATGTGGTTACATTTAGCCAACACACACACACGTGGTTAGGTTTAGCCAACACACACACACATGTGGTTACGTTTAGCCAACACACACACGTGGTTACGTTTAGCCAACACACACACACGGTTACATTTAGCCAACACACACACGGTTACGTTTAGCCAACACACACACGTGGTTACATTTAGCCAACACACACACACGGTTACATTTAGCCAACACACACACACACGTAGTTACGTTTAGCCAACACACACGTGGTTACGTTTAGCCAACACACACACACGTGGTTACGTTTAGCCAACACACACGTGGTTACATTTAGCCAACACACACACACGTGGTTACATTTAGCCAACACACACACATGGTTACGTTTAGCCAACACACACACGTGGTTACATTTAGCCAACACACACACACGTGGTTACGTTTAGGGTTTGGCTTTACAGTCTTTCAGGAAGTGAACACTGGTCTCCAGCCCACCCGACTCACTTGGACTTCTGCCGCCTCAGGTTTTGTTGTTCTGCCGTTTTGATCCCTGACGCCACCGAGCGCCAGCAGCTTGTCATTCCAACGTTGAAGGACGGCTTTTTTTGTTGGTGTCTGACACCTGAAGTCACTGACGAAGCGCCAGTATTAGACGACTGCAGAGTGAGACCAGGTTAGCTCCTCAGGGACACTTCACTGAGTCTGATTCATATTTTAATGTGCTTTAAGTTTTCAAAATAAAACACAGAAAATGGAGCTCAGAATAAAACAGCATTCACCTCAGTCATTATCTCTGCAGAGAACCAGAAAAAGTCATAAACATCTCGTCTGATGGTTTGACAGAGTTCATAGTATTCACAGTTTGGTTCAGTGTGACTCGGAGGTGTCACAGTTCGTATGTTCTCACTACAGCACAAAGATATAAATTAAATTAGCTGGGTATTTAAATATAAAAGCCTCTGAACAGTGATGGAGCCGTTTACCTCACCGATCCGTCTCTTCTTATGTAACCTAGGACTGTAGTTACAAACTGAGACAAACAAAATGAACGACTGCTTTTGAACTGAACAAAACATTTTCTTTATTTTTGATATTTTAAATGTAATAAAACACATAATTTGTGTTTTTGTGGTTCAGAGCAGGAGTCAGGTTAGTGAAGGAGACTTGTGACGAGGCTCAAATACATTTCATTTGATTGTACTTTTTATTTGTTCCATTCATGTTAATGCACATCAAATAAATTCATGATCAAAATAACTCTGACACACGTTACATGACCCGAAGAGGAGGAGGCGGACAAAGAAAAACGATCACTAGTTATTAATCAAAC